CAGTAATAGCATCATGATGCTGAGCTATACCAACAGCGTCGGTCATCCTCTCTACACACAGTGGTGGAGCAGCTCCCTCACTCTCCTTCAACTCACCCAGACTCTGTAGTTGATCCTGTGAGCCCTGTGGACGGCTGTGGCCACCAACTGCCTTGCGGCAGTATAAGTCCTACCCGCGCCTCGGACCATACCCTTAAAGTTGGGCCGAGATGTAAAGTACCTGACCCTATTGTGATACCAGTGAGCGCCACTCAACCGTACCCGGTCCAATAAGCGTGACCGCCGTCGACGGCGTCAACGGTGCGCTTGGCCACGTCCACAACTTCCACTTCCCCATCTCCGTAAGGGAAAAAGTCCTCATCGCTGTTTTTAATGGGGAGGCCGACACCACCATCATATTGCGCATGGCGGGACTTGATGTAGATCCTGTGAGGGATGGCTTCAGCTGAGGTAAGAGGAATGGCGCCCTACTTCGGATTACTGTAGAAAACGTTGAGAATGTGACTGCTATTTCTCGGATCGCTCAACTGCTGGTCGGCTACTAACTTCGAATAGTGAATGAGCTTGTCCATGTTTTGAAACCAAGTCTTCGCCTGTTGGTAGTTGAAATCCATACCCTGACGGAGGGTTCATGCACTACACAATGAGGATAGTTTCAGAGGTAAAACCTCTAAGGTAAACATATCAGACAAGATAACGAACATGACTCTGCGGGAAAGAGTCCTGATCCCGGGGGGCAGTGTAAAGAGGAAGTCGCTGTACATGCGAGGTTCCACTCGGAACCCGGACTCGAATCTCGTTGAAAGTGCGACCGTCTCCGTTGCCCTCACCATCGTTAAGATGATATTCTGGCTTTTCCCACGCTCTCCATTCTCTGGGTTGTAAGATTTAGCCTGCTTCAGACATATCTAAGAGAGACAGTCTGATACCGAGCCTTCCTGACAGATGAGGGCTCACATGGCGCAAGGAGTCCAACCTGTGCATGACGTTGACGTCCTCAACCATGGGGTCATCTTGTACGGGTGGATCAGAAGCGAGCAGATCGAAGTGGAATCCTGTAGGAGGAGAGTACCTTGAGACTAGTCACCGGAGATGGTAAAGCCTGCTACTCTCACATGTGCATGAGCCCCATGAAAATCCCATCGAAGTTGTCAACGGTGTGTGAACCATTCTCCTTTCTCGTGCGATACACCTGTAGAGTTCTATACCATCCATGGGTATGAATGGGTATGGGATCACCATCTCGAGAGCTCCAGTAGCCTCTCTTATTGCCATGTCTTAAGCATCAGCTCGGCCAACAAGCCAACCATCGAAGCACATCTAGAAACAGTATTCGCTACTACTACTACTACTGCACCGGTACCTCCCTAAAGGCTTTATTCTGGAAACTGGAGTGACCAAAGGGATCTATTTGCCATCCCACTCGAGGGGAGGCGTCCGTGGAGAACTCCGTAGCGATTTTCAATGCGCCTGAAAGCAACACTCAGCAAGCATGAGGCTAGCTTCGCTACCTGCAGTGTGTTGGTCGATGATATCAGTGTACAGAGTTCCAGCCTCATCGTTCATCACCCAACCAGCATTGATGAACTCGAGTCGACCTTCAGCCACCAACTGCCTCACGATTCTCTTAGTGACTCGGGACTGTCGTCTCCACCATCGGGTGAAGAACGCCTGGTGAGGTGGTGACAGCTTCGAATGTAATACATTCTCACTATCTCGACGTAGATGAATTTTCTGTTCTCGTCCAGTTGTAGTTCGGCGATAACCGAATCTAGTATGAGCCCGACGTTAGCGTTCTGGATGGAGTTTGAGGTGCCTAAGACGGCGGAAATTCCCCCACCAGTTATTGCGTCTAGGAAGAATCCTCCTGGAGTATCTACCAGTGAAGTACTGGTCCACAGTTTTCAACCATCCAGGGTCGTTATGGGTGTGGGGAACCAAGTGTACCTGGGCGCCGCACTAGGGATCACCGAATGCTCTATCACAATCAGTGGCTACATTGATAACGCGGGGATCATCAATGATCGGACCACCACTGGTGTTGTAGGGCCCTCCGGGCGAGAGTGGTATCTCCACGAGGTTACCGTCCACCCTCAACATCGTGGTCTTAGCCTCTCTGATGGTACCATCCACGGCTGTGGCTATCGCTGTCACAAGTAGGATGAAGTGAAGTACGATCGCCATATGTTGAGAGGGGTTACTCAACAACAAAGGAAACGTGACCAACGTCTAAACTCCACAGAGGAAATGAGAGTAGTCGTGATGGGCGAGTGCTGTGCAAGAATGGACGGCCAAAGTCCATATAGACAGCAACCATGCATCGATTTCCACATCTTTCTATAACAAAACAGCGAACCGTAACCTCAGTGTCCTCAGTGACACTGAGTCAGTGTCCTGCGTGTGAGACATCCTCTCATCTTCTCTGTACCCGCGCAAAGCTCTTTGTGCTGATGTTTTACTCCATCTAACGATTCATCAAATGCATTAGATAACAAACTACTATCTTCCTCGCGATTTTCTCACTCGTTTGCTCTTTAACTAATATGTACGAATCGTACAGTTCGATATAAGAGTTTCCTCGTAGCTGTTATACTACAAGCTTCTCTGATGGTCACGTTTTGAGCCGACGCACAACGTTGTGATCATTGTGCGCGGCGTACTTCAAGGAACTTCCTTCGCAAAATATCCTCGAACGCCATAGAGGTGATACGGGTTCCTTCCTGAGATGAAGGCCACGAAGATAGTTCACGAGTTTCTTCATCTGAAACTAAGCGCTACACGTGGGTATACTGAGGATTACCATTTAGGTACAGAGGATGGAATAGCAACGCACAGGGGATGACATTGTGTTTCCGGCGAGCACAACTTGGTTTTATACTAGGGGTTCACGTGTGTTGTGTGTTGAACTGGGAAGAAAGTAGTTCTTTCCAGAGTTGGAGACGAAAATGCATCCATGACGCAGTGGATATCTATCTGCGCGACCCCCATGCCCCCGAGGATGGTCATTTTTCGACCAGTCGCACGACTCCGAAGTGGCACCCATTTTATCCATGCGATTCGTAACTCGATAAACAACGGAAAAATTGCACTGAAACGATCACTTATCAGCATGGCAATACTCACGGACAACAAATACTCTCCTTAGGGAATGTAACTCATGGTTAACTCACCTTATCCCTTATTGTTAGTGCTGTTTTCAATCCTATGATGATGACTTGAGTCGCTGAGAACATTAGTGTAAGCTTTTTACCCAAACTTTTTCCCAGCTCTTCCCGAATTTTTCTACGACCTGGGGTTCATTCTTCATGGAACTTCAATTCGACTAAGCTCGCTTGGGGCAACGTCTTAAAAAATGCACTCAGAAAGTCGACCCTTCCGAGTAGCATCACTTCAATAGAGCATGGATGTGGAAACCTGTTCTTGTGACGCGGACTCGGAACCCGGGAGGCTTGAGCACTTCAATTGGGCCCGTAATTCCTGGTAGCGACTCCTCCTGAGTTGTCCACTGCAACACAGCTCACATGGGAGTCGGCTTGGGAGGCCGACATCGAGGGCAAGAAGCTGAAGGATGTTACCGTAAGGAGGCACCGCACGTGAGACGTTGAAAGTGCTGCAATATTGATCGTCTACCATATCAACAACTTCAATTCGTCACTCGTTTTCATTAGTAAGCAACTTTATAGAATCCACAGCACTACGTATTTCACGGCCTATTCTAGGTAGGCTACTCATGTCCACCGAGTACCCGGAAGATTGAGCAATATAGAACTATGAATTGTCAACAGGCCGTGGCAGCAGGCGGTGATAAGCCTGATCCCTGAGCCATCACAGAGGTGGTGTTCGATGGAGGCTCCAACAACCCTAAGCATAGTAGTCCCTGCAATTGGAGTAAAGAAGATCTCGAGGAGGATCAGCGTGCGTAGACAAGGATGAGCATCCGCGCGGCTCTGGCGCCTCGGGAGACTCGAACACAGTCATCACAAGCTGAAATAGTTGTACTGATTTTCTACTTGATTCACAAAAAATGTTGGGGCTCTCAGAGGTTTACGGGGTGTTCAGAGAACCCATTCCGAAACTCAGAACACATTCCAGAATGCAAAACACCAAAATCGCGTTCAGAGAACAGCCCCCCAAACACATTCTGGAAAGCGTTCCAGAATAGATTCCGAACGTGTTCAGAAAACTTGAGAATGCATTCTGAAACACGTCCCAGAAAGCGAAATTTCAGAATGCGAAAAGGAACAATATTTTTCTGGAACTATATTGGATTCGCCACGAACTAAATCAGCTTATGCCCCTTTTCCTGCAGTTTGCAAGAAGTGCGCACTTTGAAATTCAAAGTTTGAATTATGGAGCGATTTTGTGAATTCTTCCTAAAATACTTTACTTTATCAATCTGGAAGGGTTGTGTTTGCAGTCAAATCCCAGAGCGGAACAGAGAATCTTCAACAATGGAGTTACCACTGAATTCTCAGTCTGCATTACATAAACATCTACAATACCAAATGTTCTTCTATTATGATATGCAAAGCGAATAGACTATAAAAAAAGTACGAATGCAAAGGATGAGCATAACGAATCCATAATCACTTTCTTCTCGAGTACAGAATTTTGACCCAGTTTTGGGGTGCTATCTTAGTACTTCAACTACGATAGAAGTTCAACAGTTGAGCTCAATCGAGCGCGTGAGACCAACACATCAAGTGAAGGGCGACGAGATCTTAATACATTGGTGTTCCCCGCATAATCATTCGAGGAGTTCATGGAACATCTCGGGAGTACAATTCACTGTGACGCTCATGGTCCGTCCCTCCAGGCTGTCTACGCTCAGTCCAGCGTCCTACTCAGGGTTTCTCGGATCATCGACCGTGCCATACTCTACTATCAACGCAATAATGGATCTTTCAGCAATAGTGCTTCTTGCACCACCCATCAATAGACTTTAAAGTGACTCAACGTTCCGATCACACCGCGCCGCTTGGAAGTCAGGCTGTGACGTGCTGCCAGCTCGGCAGAGTAGTTGATCAATTGACCTGATTCAGTTCCTCGTTAGCTCTACAAAAGACAATGCAAACTCGCTCGTCAACTGGAACCCCACTAAAGCCGCCGAGCCGCTACATCCAGCCCAAGGCGCAGCCCAAGGCTAAGGTCAAGCCCAGAGCTAAAGCGAGTGGCAATTGGACGTCAATACCAAAGGAGAAGGCAAGATCCAAGGGCCGGGGCACCCGAGTCCAGTCTCGAAAAGTAAAGGCGGCACAACAGATTCACCAACCAAAGGATCATGACCATGAACTATTATCCTCGTCGCCTTACGGTGTTCTAACTGGTGTGGGTCTCAACCATCTCAATGTCGCTCCTGGATGTGCTGACACTTCTTGGAATGGTACCGCTCGTGAAGGGAGCGAAAAGCGGCGGAGAGAGGATCTACCAGAACATGTCGGCTGCCTTGCAGAAGATCCTATCGACGACAAGTTCTCCGACGACTCGGGATACGGGAGTGATGGTACCAGGATTGTTTCGTCGCCGCCCACGAAGAAGTGCGCACTAGAAGAGCCTGCTCCTCACCAACGCCTTGTTCACGCCCTTTGTCCATCCGGCGGATCTACAGGAGTACAGGGACTAAGATTTCCAAGCTCTCAGTCATCACTAGGAAGGAACACTGAATCTGGACGCCTTGATGCACCACTCAAAGATTCCGGTCCAAAGCTCGTAACTCCTGCGGTACGACCCCACCATCATAATGAGAGATTCACTCAGACAACTCACCCGACAACACACGGCTGGCCTTCATCTATCCCTAGTCATCCGGTAAATCTCTGCAGTACAACCGCATTGGGGGTGTCGCAGGACAACATCGTCAACGGAAATCTTATGGAACGGCCAACTTGGCCATTTAGCAAGATCACTATTGATGATGGAGATCATAATCAGAGAGATACTATCGAGTAATGTTATACTGCTGCAATGCATCCGAGCGCACTAATTCCACCTTAGGTTCCTCCACCAGCTATCAGAGAAGGATCTCGACATTTTTCTAGATCCGGGCTCCACTTCATATCTTGGGCCTGAGAGACAGTCAAATCCGTCGCAGAGGAAAACATCGGATATTGAACATTCTCACCGTAAGCAAAATCACCGTTCAATTTAGTAAACGTAATAAGTTTACTGCAGCCGATGCTCCGCGATAGAACTGTGCTTAGCTGAGAATCTCAACCTAAGATGATCTATAGCGATCAGGCTCTCCCCATACCCTTTCTCTGAGCAAGATCCCGCCATCCTGTGAGACCGGAAGTGACCAACAGGAAGTATAGCAGCTAGGCCATCTAGGAAATGGCAAGTCAAGTCTGCTCATTATTATGAACGATCAGGTGCTTCAAGACATCGCCATGATGCTTAGTCAGGGCCGAATCACGGGTCAGGACTGTGATCATGACGTTATCCATACGACAGTGGATCCAACTAGCATCACAGAAGAGCTGGAGGGTGAGGATGGCTCCTCTACCGATGGTGAAGAGGATGATCCGAAAAAGGGCCGAGGTGGTGCGATTACCTGGCATAAACGGATGACATCCGATGACGAAGACTCAGCTGAAATGTGGATAGAGAATAACACCTACGGGATCATGAGGTAGGCGATCTCTTCTAGGTATCTCTGCTAGTCGCTCTTAACATGGAGGTAGTACTATTCGTTGATTCTCAGGGTTAATTATAGCAAAACCTATGGATATAAGCAACATTTTTACTGCACTGCTTGTGGCAAACCAGCTTCACACAGCGAAGATTCTCGTTTATCCATCGAGGCTGGACATCCTCCAGTAGGAGAGCAGATATACCTTCACTATGATATGAGATCTACTAAAGTCGTCCTATACTCCAATAATGGCACGCATGTCCATCGGCAAACTCCGCGGAATGGACTTAGTGATACAGTGAAAGAGTTTATTGAACGAAAGGTACGGGAGGCTGTGGTTGATCTTCCAACAATATGGGATAAACTGCAGAGGCGGATCTCAAAAGGAAAGATAACAGCCGACGAGAAGCCCGAAAACAAGCAACAAGTAAGACTTACTCAGCGATTTCCAATATCCATCCTTTATCCTAGGTGAAGAACTATCTTGGGAGGGTGAAGAAAGCCACGAACGGGGGATCAATGCAGACTACCATGAATGATCTTATAGCCATGGCCCAGTCGAATTCTGCTGTGCCCAGCCATCACGAACGCGACAAAGCTTTTGTGGTAGGTGGACGGAAGTGTTACGAGGAATTGCATGTTTTAACAATGTCTAAGGAGGTACTCCTGTAACAGTTGTTGAAATATTCAACGCGATGAATATTGAAATTATCTGACAGATATTTATTCATTTTTATTTTGGGGTACCAAAATGTTCAGCACCACGGATATTTCGAGTTTCACACAATATACGTCGAAACGGTAATCGTGATGAATGGTAAACCTTCCATAATTTCTTGACGACTCGCAACGCATCAGATTGACCGATTAAGCAGAATTTTGAATGAAATACGTATGTAATAATACGAAAGGGAGAAGCGGCATTTAGCAAGACTTTCGACTTGGAAAATCCTTCAATTAAATTTCGGGAACTTTCAACATTGGACTTCCTATAATCCAAGTAGTGCAACTTAGGTTCACTCTCAATTCCGAGATGGCGCATTCCAGATTGTATTCAGCACGCGCCGATGTATCGAGGCTTCACGCCGAGCCGTTATGTTGTGTACCGATGCTACATATAAGCTCAACTTCCATGGGTTTCCAATACTAACCCTGGCTATGGCCGATTATAGGAACCACATTTTTCCTGTGGCATTAGCTCTATGTGGGAACGAACGCAGTGGTGATTATGGAGAATTATTCCGATCACTCAATATCGGAGCCACGAAGCTGGGAATTCCTCTCCACTCACCTCGTTTTGTGATGGGCGACGGGGCTCCTTCTATAACGAGGGGAGCAGCCGAAGTATTCCCTGCTGCTGCTCGGGTCATGTGTTGGTTCCACATGAAGCAGAATGTCGAGAAGTACCTGAAGGGAGGACAGGTTGATGATGATGCAGCTTGCAATATCTTACGCGATCTATCCTACATTCAGCTTGCTATAACTGAACAGGCATTCGTGGGGATGTTCGAGCTTTTTGCAGCACAATATAGCAGGGGGTTCCCACAAGTAGTTGAGTATATACGGGAAAGCTGGGTCGAGAACCCACCATATAACACTTGGTGGGAGGGGGCAGCTCCTCGCCTTCCCTCTACTAATAACGGGCTCGAATCTATGAACAACCAGCTCAAAATCAAAACACTCCGCGAGAAACTCCCACTCGGCACATTCGTGGCAGTGGTGAATAACAAAGTGCTTCCAGGCTACAGCCAGGCACTGGACGATACAGGAGGGCATAATGAGAGGATCTATGAGTCTCCGGAGAATGTTCACGCCTCGAAATCTTTGTTCGCCGCCGCAGCATGTTGGGCGTCGACTGAGGCTATGCATATAATGCAGCTACCTGGGTCGGAGGGAACATATGTCTTCATGCGATCCCGGGGAGCAGCCAAGTCCTACCTATCTCTAGCGAACATCCAGAAGTATCTTGCAACACTTTGCGGGTCATATGTTCATTCGACATTCGCTTCCATGGTGGCTCTGATGAGCAAGATATATATGGTCACGATCCCTGCAGGGTCGACGAACTGGCGCCACTTTCACTGCAGCTGCCGGCCATTCCTGAAGCAGAAGACATGCCAACATTGTATTGCAGTGGCCGTCAGACGTGGATATCTGAACCAAGAAGACAAATTCTCTATGCCTTTACAGAAGAATCCGAGGAAGCCCGGGCGCCCTGCAAAAGCTCAACCAGCCCTGGCAAGGAGTTTCACATTAGATGCCGCAGCGCAGACTCGCTTTCTTCATTTCTGAGTACTTATTATAGTCAAATCTCATAGTTTTTCTCATATTCTCTTATTCTTATTCTCATCGACTCATGACAATCTATTAATCTCGAGGTCATGGTAATAAATAATGGCTTTAGGGCCTACAATTTCTCATCTATCGTGCTCATAGGAAATTACGCATAACTTGTTTCGTAGTTAAACCCAGTTTCTTGCCAGGATAGCATTGAGTTAATGAACGCAAAGTGAAAATTACCAACAAAATAGCCTTACCCAGAGATTGACAAAGCTACACTGAGAAATGCGCTGTTCGTGCAAGTGCACGACGGATCACGGGTGTGGCTCATCAATGCACGTGATGTTAGGATGAGCGGAGCGAAGCCTAGCGGAGCGTAGCATTGATTGCATCAAAAGTTTGGCGATCGGCGGCGTTGCACAGTATCGTGCTGACCTAACCATCTAACCTTGTGGGTTGAGATGTTTCAAATGGGTCAAAGTGGGTTCCCGGCCTTGGCTCTATCGCCACGTGCCTCATATTCTTCTCCACTTGTTACAAGGTGGTTGTTTCTTGGGTTCTGCCCCTTTTTCCGCTCGAACGGTCGCGATCTCTTGCCTACGGGATCTCCCTCACTCAGCTCTATCCCGTTTTATGACAACCATATCTGACCTTTCGGCTCAGCTCCACCCGCAGTCCTCGGTTACCGATGCCCTGCACCTTCTGAGTACTGATTCCGAGTTGACCGAACTCGTCCTCCGCAACTCCTTCGCCGCGACCGTTCACACCTTGGAAGATATCCACCTTCTCGGTGGTCCTTCTTACGAGAGTCTGTTCGGGATTTCCTCTGACGACTGTGCCCCCGCTTTGAAATTGGTCGTTCGTAAGCTTATCCGCATCGCATCTGCCTTGCATACTTCTTCGGGTGCTGCTCCCCCTGCCACCACTCCTCTCCCCGAACAAGACACTCCTTGGCTTGACAGTCTCTCTCACTTGCTCACTCTAACTCCATCGTCCGGTCGTATCAAGCTTCAGGCGCCAACGTTGGCTGAGCTCCTCGGTGATCGTGACTCTTTACGTGGATTGACCTACTCTCTTCACTGCCCCCCCGATATCCTCCTCGACATCATGTCTTTCCAGGATGTGGATCGCCTCCGTGTGCTATTCTCCAAACCACTACGCTCTTACTGCTCTCTCGACAAGGGCTCTACTTATGCTGATAATTCACTCAAGCTCTCCACCCTCATCCACTGCCTTCTTGTTTGGGCTTGCACCACCCATCTAACGGGTAACATTGGGCTGGGCTTTTTGCTCTCCCACTGTGATAACACCATTTCGAGCATGGGAGATACCATCCAAGGGAAGGTGGTTAACACACAGTGTTGTGAGCTCTACCATACCTTTCTACTCAAGGACGTCCATACCAAGCTCGGTAATTCCGTCTCTGTCGATGACATCTGTGACTTCATTAGCTCCTCCTCTTCTAATACCTGGGGGATTGCTGTTAACAAGTCCACACCTCATTATGCTCGCTCTGCTAACACTCCTCAGAGACGTCGCGCCGACTCTCTTCCTGCCAAGCAACCCGTACAAACTCGTACATTTACTTGGGGTGATTCTCAGGGGACTTCCGCAGCTTCCCCTTCCTCTCGTGCTGCTAAACGTAACAAACCTACTCCTGCATGAGCTCGCCTATCCCTATGGATGCATGATATGCTGATGTTTTGCATCGATGTTCATCATTGGCTCTTGTGTCTCTTTCGTAGCTAAGTAAGGGTGCAAGTTATCCTAGCTATTACCCACCTCCTTCATGTCTGTCTCTTCCTCCTCGATAAACAAACACCGACGTAAGCTGCGTCGTCGGTTGAGTCGCCGACATGAGAAGTATATCTTGCATCCTGTCACTCTGCCTGATGGCTCCATCAAGCTATTGCCCCTCCCGTCAGACAATCATTTGCCTGCGTGCGATCCTCTGATAACTACATCCCATGATGACATCCACTACTACGCCTCTTCTGACGCCCAGATTCTCAGACAACGTACTTCCATTTCTGTTGATTGCTCGAATCTTACTTCACCGCACGAGCACCTGCGCGCTGCTCAAGCTCTGTGTCATCCTCTCGATCTTACCGATCCTCTACCAGCTCCTCTCAAGCACGCCATTTCCTTTGTCTGCGCTAATCGACATCGCGTCCCACGTCTCCGCCGCTCTCAGTGCAAACAAATCCGCCGCCTTGCTCGTGCTCTCGAACCTACTCGACAACTGTGGTTAGCCGAAATGCATCCACAAATCCTCGGTTTCTGTTCTCACTTACATCTTCCACTCATGGCCGTCCTGTTACGTCGTGCCAACTATTGTGACTCGTCACTCGCACTGGAGTTGGTTTACGGTTTGGCAGTCCATGGCAATTTCCACACCCCAGGTAACATTTTCGCTGAGGGTGTCTCCCAGAAATGGACGTATACTGACCCCAACACTGTTTTACGTACGGGCTTTCTCAAGGACGACCTAACATACCAACGTTTGCAACGCGAGTCTCCGAGTACTGATGATGCCATTTTGTGGCAGGCGGCTATTGATGAGGTCGATAATCACACCATGGCTGACCCCATCGACGGCGACAGTTATGCGACTGGCTATTTGATTTCACGAAGATTTCCCGTACGCCAGGTCTCCAAAACGAGGCCATGTGACGATTATACTGCCTCGGGTCTGAACGACTGCCAATACTTCGATCGTCGTATGACTTTACCCACCATTGACTTGATTACACAGATGTACAACACTCTGTCTGATTCCTGGCCTGATGATCTTGATCTCCGCATATGGAGTGCTGATCACCAGAGTGCTTATCGACAAGTCGCGTCGTTTCCTCCACACACTTTCTCTACTCTTGTCGCTATTCGTAATCCGTCTACGGCTCATTTATATTTGTTTAGACACTTCGCTCAGGCCTTTGGAGCCAGATCAAGTGTCTGGAACTATCTACGAGTCTCACAAGCGTTGGTCTTCCTCTCCAGGGCATATTTTTCCACTATCGTCGTTAGCTATATCGATGATTTTTCTGGAGGCGAAGATGTAACGACTGTCGACTCTGCCTACTCTTCCTTCCTCTTTCTGAACTCTATTCTAGGCTGGAAAGTGAAAAATTCGAAATGTTCTTCACCTTCTCACGCCATGGTCCTTTTAGGCATAAAAATATCTGTCTACAAGCGAGCTGTTTCTCTTTCTATTCCGCGCGAAAAATTAGACCGTATTTGTGCTTCTCTTGTCACTATTCTCTCATCGGGAGTTCTACCTTTCGGTCAAGCCTTGAAGTTATGCGGTAAGTTAACTTTTGCTACTTCTACCTTTGCTTCCCGTGCTGGTAGACCCTTCATTCGGGTGCTTTACGATCATATCTATTTTGGACGTAAGTCTGGTTCGTCTTCCCTCAGTCACACTGCCATCGATTGTCTCCGATCATTACTTTTTCTTCTACGCAATTTCTCTGATGGTCGATGCTTGACGTTATCCTCATTACATAGCCTTCCTTCGGCTATCATATACTCTGATGCTGATGGTGATTGCCGTCTTGGAGCATGTCTCATTCGCCCCCACTACAAACATGTCTATTTCTCAGAACCATTACCTTTGTCTCTCTCGGCAATCTCTTGCTCTGATCCACCTAATATAGTCTTCCAAGAATGCTGTGCAGCCCTCTGTGCAATCTCGACATTCGGTCCCATGCTCCGTTATCATCGTGTAATGATCTTCATCGACGCTACATCTGTGGAACACATGATCTTGAAAGGTTCGTCCAAATCGCCTTCGCTCAATCGCCTGGTCCTTGCATTCTGGCTCTTAGCTGCAAAGTTCGGCATTTCGATGTGGATTGGTGGTGTACGAAGTCAATTCAACTTGGCTGATGCTCCTTCGCGTAGACTTTATCACGACTTCCTTTCTTGGGATCGGTATAGGTTGGTAAGTCCGCATCCATCATTGCTACATTATGGAAATTGTCAGCATGCCCTCACGACGTGATGTTACAATATTCATGACTCGTGTAAGTATGTTTCTTGCTTTGCGTTTTGCACTCACTCTTTGTTCCTTTGTCAGCAAAAATTCTTCATTTCTCTCAATGTCTGACGAGATTCTTTTTCCAATGCATGTTGCTGCTGCGAGATTAAAGCTGCAACGACTGCGAAGTGCTCGATTACAGACTTCATATACATCCACATCGGTACCACGCCGCATACTTGTAGATCCTTCCGCTATAATTGCGTCTACACGTCCTTACACTTTGAACAATAAGAGAATACACGATATTATTGCAGCCTTCCCGCCGACTAAACAACTATTGTTCCTTAAATACATGGGAGATCAGAACATCAATATTACCTCTCTCATCGAAAGAGCAGCTTTCGAACTACCTTTGCGCTCTGTTCTTCCATCTACGTTAGCAAGCTACAACGCCGGTCTACGTCACTACTTTGCATTTTGCCGTTTATGGTCCGAGTTGTCGGGTACCTCCTTCGAATTTTTACCTCCCTCAGCGTCGATGCTAATGCGTTGGCTTGCTACATTCAACAACGGCTTCACCGCGGCCAACTACCTGACTCACATTAAGAAGTTCTGCATTATTTTGGACTTGGACACCGCACCCTTTGATTCAGCTCGTATAAAAACTGCCATCTCCGGTCTTAAGAGGTCTACACATCGCCCTGAATCTTTGGCTATTCGTCGTCCTCTTTTGCTGAAAATTGTCGAATGGGCCAAGAATCGTAAACTATACTTGTTCGCGGCAGCCGCTGTTGCTGCCTATATCGGAATGTTCCGCGTTCGTGACGAACTTCTCACTCTGAGGTCTTCTGACGTACATTTCACATCCGACAATGCTGTCACCATTCATCTTCTCTCACGAAAAAATTCTCAGCGTGGTGCTCGAATCCATCGATTTTGTACTTGTCAATCATCTCCACTTTTATGCTTACATGCAATTTTGTCGTCTCTTATACATCACTCGAGAACGTGTAGTATATCTGTGCCTCTATTCGCCTCTCTTTCTTATTCTTCATTCAATGCGTACACTAAGCAAGCTCTGGCCGCTTTACATGTCCCTGAACACAGTCGCTATGCTTCTCATTGCTATCGACGTGGTCATTGTAGGGATTTACTTGCTGCGGGAACCCCTGCAGCCACAATATTGCGGATGGGCGGCTGGCGTTCAAACGCTTTCAAAGCTTATCTCAGTATGCCCGAGGTGAATGCTATCGCTGTCGAAAAAGTCATAGACCATGCATTATCGGATGTATCTGCTAGCGAACATTACGCATGACCTGAGCTCAATCCATTATACACACAAAATGAATATGAGTTTTGAAGTTTTCACATTGGGATGGGGGTACAAGCAGTGGGATAGTTTCGAGTCAACATGTAGTTCAAAAACATGTTCTGGCTTGACGCTGTGGTCTGCTGCTCCTTAATCCCATAGACTTCGGTAGTCACAGCAACGAGCCAGGCGAAACTTTTGTGGCTCATCAATGCACGTGATGTTAGGATGAGCGGAGGGCGGTTGTGCGCGCGCGCCACAAAATTCCGTAGTTCAGCCACAAATTTATGATACTGGCCACAGAATTATTGCATCGGCCACTAATCATCGATGGTCGAAATCACTCCGGTTCAGTGCTTGGAATGTCTAATTCAGAAATGCTCTTGTCGCGAACTCACAACCGGGTCTCTTCTTGTAGCGTGACTATGGTCAGAAACTGCAGATGTAATGAAATAGAACCTCCCAACACTTGTCAACTATAGTAGTCGGGTCCTGCCAGCGAATTTTTATCTTGTTCGATCTGAATGGATCCTTCGAGCTCGAGTATGGCCCAGGCTATCGGCTTGGTACTACAGAACAACCCCGCTATTATGGAGAAAGCTGTAAACGAAGCTGTTCAAGAGGCAATGAAGAGAGTCTGTGAAAACGGCGTGTCCCGTACGGAGGAAGGCCAGGCTGGCCCGTCTGGCTGTCCCGAAGCCCAGGCGACTCGGAACCATCGCGGTCCAGGCGCCAACTACGAGCTCGCTACCAGCCAAGTTTTCAGTTCTATCGTCGATGCGGAGGCGCATCTAGCCAAATACGCCGGACTCGAGCCGGGATTGAAGATGGTTCTCAACAATAGCTACCAAAGAAAACGCATCATCTACGGTACGCGTCGCTACCGATGCCCTCGCGCTCGATCCGCTGGATGGAAACGATGCAGCTTCACAATGCTGATAACGACTGGGTCAGATGGTTCGCGGATATGGCGGCAGCGCAAACATCCCATTCACGCCAAGTCCGGCGTGGTTTCCAAGCCCAAGTTGTCGGAAGTAGCCTGTGAAGAAGTGAAAAAGTTGGCAATGGCCGGTTGCCAGCCGAAGAGCACTTTCCGTTATCTCCGGGAACGAGGCTACCTACCTGCGGGGCTGACACGACAAAATGTCATGATGAAGATCTATTACCTCAGGCAGCGAGCTTTCAAGCATAACGAAGGTAGACCGATGCCAGGAGGGTCTCTCACAGAGATAGCGGCGTTTTGCCGTGAACGACAAGTTGTGCCTTGTGATGATGATGAGAGCTTCTGCCTCCATTATGTAGACGATCAGGATGGCGAGTTCTTCGGCTTTTTTACGACCAGAGGCTTGTTGAAGGCGGGGCATTCGTGCCCAGTCCTGTCGGCGGATTTCACCCACAAATTATCATATTCCCCCTTGGGGGTATTGCTGATAGGAGGAATCTTCCCCGGGAATCCCCCGCGATTTCGACTCCTGCTCGCGGGGTTCTCTCTCCATGAGAGTCAGAAGAGCGTGACGGCGGCAATGAATAGTCTGAAGACTATGATGAACAACCTGCGGCTGAGCTTTTCTCCCACGATCTTCGTGGGAGACGCAGCCCCCCAGCTAGGGGGTGCGTTCGAAGAGGTGGGCTTGAGGAAATGAGGATTTCAGTCATTCGCTTCTTTTCAGGTCCACGGGAGAGCACGCCCCCACGGTCTTGTCAGAGTCAATGGTCGACTGGAGTGGAGTCCCGATAATGATTTCGATGGAGCTTCAACCAGGCTCTTCTGCCATGTGCACATGTGGAGAAATGTTCTACAGAAGGGGATGCCGATGCTGAAAGAGACGGTTGTTAAAGGCTGCACGGCTCCTGCGACTGATGAAAGCTCCAGAGAAGAACACCGACGTTCTCTCTCACTTTCCTTGGATGCGATTGGCTCCGGTCAAACTTATCAGAAGCTGCGTCTCCGATTCAAAGAAGCTGTGACCACACTGCAAGTGGCCCCGTCTCCTCAGCACATCGTCGTGTGTGCGAACCTTATGGAAAAGGAGTGGTCGCGTGTCTGTAAGCCGTTGTGGGATTATTTCTCCGCTCAATGGTTGGAGCACAAGATTGGTTGGTGCCAAACTTCTCACGAGCCGTGGGCGGATAGAGTGGTGCCGCGAAACTCCAATTGTGTGGAGGCAGCCAACTCGGCGTTAAAGTCCGGTGAGTATTGTCGCGGTATCCGATGGGCGCCAAGATTGTGTGTTCATCTCAGGTCTCATCCGAGAGAACATGGCTCTATGTGCGTTAATCTCTGAACTCTGCGCAACATGTAGCGATTATTCGTTCGGATGTACTCATGAAGCTGCCGATCTTAACGACCCCTTGGCACCGACCAAGCAACAAATGGTGCAGGCTATGCGATGGAGCGAAGGGCGATGTAGGGACCACATATATATTTCCTTCGAGGATGATGCTTACTACGTTCCGAGCGAAGCGTGCTTACGACTTCATGACGGAGCCGACCCCGAGGAACTTGACAGTGTTGTCTCCGGCTTCCGCGATAAGTACTTGAGCGAGCATGAGTCGGCATGGGAGGACTACTCCGACTACAGCAGATCAATGCGGCAGATCAGAGTGGTGAAGCGTTTCTCTGGGGATGAAGGCCACGACAAGTATTTCCGCTGTAGCTGCAGCGATTCAGTTCGATATCGGCATTGTCGTCATTCCCTGGGATGCCAAATTTTGGAGCATAAATTGGCATCCGATGCTCCCGGATATAGAGACTTGAAAGCTCCGGGAGCTCCAGCTCGTGGCTGCGTGAGGTAAACACTCTCGAATAATTCTCTACAGACCATTTTTATCTGCCAGGTATCCTCGCTCGAGAGCGCTACAGGTCTGCCCCTCTTACAAGAAACGCCAACGCAAGCTTGCAGAAGAGTTTCGAGGAGAGAATAGTCAGCCGCCTCACCTGCCTGCGGGTGCTAGGCTGGTAGTTCCAGTGACAGCGAGGTCTGCAGATCAGTCGAGTATCCTCCGGGATGTCACAGACGAGGACCTGGATGCTCAGTCGAGTGGCGACGAATCGGGTGAACAGTCTGACTGACTCAGATATACTCTGTATTGCATAGAATATTGGTTTCAGATGCGATGAGAGAGCACTACAAGAGCTTGATCGAGGAGGTTGAAGCCGAGGTTGAAGACGGTGATGATGACATGAACAGCAACTCTGAGGCCTCCAGCCGTGATGAGCAAGGTAGTGGTAACTACTAGTGGGTAGTAGCCACTAGCTACTTCATGGACTGATTGGGACTACCACGTAGTTCCAGTCATTCTATTAGAAGGGTGATGGAACGCACCGTCTTCTCTCCAGATCCAACTCCTCTCCAGGATGGTAGCGAAATCGGCAGGATTTTCGAGGGAGGTTGCTTGGAGAACACAACCAATCCCGACGGAACCTCCGAGGAATCTGTTGGCGAAGATTCCGACTCCGATGCGTCTGATCGGGAAGAATACGAAGGCGAGTCAGATGGCAAAGAATACGAGGGCGATGAGTTCGATGAAGCATCATTTGATGGGGAAGATGGTATATGTGATGGAGGCGATGAAATGAAAAAAGCTGCTGTGTAGATATGTCCCCCCACCCTACTGGGGATTCCCATGGAGCCACGTACCTCGACATGTCTCCGATTGAAGGACCATTGCAAGTATTTATACCCGACTCTACTCTTTGGTCTCCCGACCAGTCTACTATCTCTTTGCAAGTCGAGACCAGACCAACTCGGAACCACCAGCATGGTATGATACTGCGTCGCCGTGAGAGGATAAATTATCGCTTGATGCATCTACGTGGCAAGAAGCAGAGTGAAGAATGAAGATTTTCCATCAGAGCTGTCTTTATGCATGTTAGTTCGAACATTTAGCTCACTGTGTTTGAGTGCTCAATGGCTTCACTCGGTTTTCCTGCGTCGTGGATTCGATAAGACCAGCCTTTTTTGACCTCTGATGCCAGGTCGTCCGGTCAGAAGTGAGGAATCTAAGGAAAAATCAAGTGACGCCTTTGCGATTCGTGATTATTGGTACCGTTTCGTCAGGAGCTCGCGGGCATTCAATCTGCGTGGTGTTGGACTGTACCAAACTCGCTCGTAGGGGATCTTCCGATGGCACAGCCAGGTGAAGTGGCTTCGGATGGGAAGAACCTGATGATTACTATTCCACGCAAGCCTCTCTGTGATCAGGTACTGCATCGCACACGGCGGAGGGCGACGGTGTCGTCACCCTGCTTGCCAGTCTGCGGCTAGGAATAGACTGGGATATTGCCAACGGCATAGTGGCATAGCCGAAGCTTCATGCTCCATCTTCAGCGCGATTACCACTGTAAACTGCGACGAGATCCTTGGTGGCCACAGCAGCGGACAGCGGCAACACTGTGGAGTGATCCCCACTGTGCAAGGTAGTTTTTTATAGTTGCGTCAATCAAGGGCGGCTTGAGTGTCTTTCAGTCTCTCCAGCGGACGTCTGCAGAGATCTCCTCCTTACGGACTTGCCGTGCGAGCCTCTGGACTCTCTATCGTCGAGCGAGTTGCGAAGGTGATGGCTCCCGAGTACGAGAAGTGGTTCAGGAAAAATGGGAGAGTATGCCGACCGTCAGTGGGCCAGTGAGTATGGCAAGCAGGCCGCGGATCGTAGCACACGGTTAGTGAACTGAGATATCACGAGTGCACACTAGAAGGCTGTGAATTAAATTCTCGCAGATTTTGCATGATCTGAACTCCAAGCTTCTAACGAGTTGCGTTGGACAGACAGGGGTACGGGGAAAGTAGAGATGGAGTCACATTCCGTCTAAATCATAGCCTAGGGTAAGTCACGAACACCACTGCCGAGCTCGAATAGAAGACTTCTATTAGTTTGGACTTCTATTAGAAGTCCAAACGCAGTAACTCGAGCACTACGAACCCTGTAGCCGGGGCACGGGGAGGGTTCTGACACTTCTAGCTCGAATAGGAGTTTCTGGGTTTCTGATGATAGAGGGGTATGGGGAAAGTAGAGATGGAGTCACATTCCGTCTAACTCATAGCTTAGGGTAAGTCACGAACACTACTGTCGAGCTCGAATAGGAGTTTCTGGGTTTCTGATGATAGAGGGGTATGGGGAAAGTAGAGATGGAGTCACATTCCGTCTAACTCATAGCCTAGGGTAAGTCACGAACACCACTGCCGAGCTCGAATAGAAGTCCAAACGCAGTAACTCGAGCACTACGAACCCTGTAGCCGGGGCACAGGGAGGGTTCTGACACTTCTAGCCGAACTGGCAACACAGTGGTTTCTGATGATAGAGGGGTATGGGGAAAGTAGAGATGGAGTCACATTCCGTCTAACTCATAGCTTAGGGTAAGTCACGAACACTACTGTCGAGCTCGAATAGGAGTTTCTGGGTTTCTGATGATAGAGGGGTATGGCGAAAGTAGAGATGGAGTCACATTCCGTCTAACTCATGGCCTAGGGTAAGTCACGAACACCCCTGCCGAGCTCGAATAGAAGTCCAAACGCAGTAACTCGAGCACTACGAACCCTGTAGCCGGGGCACAGGGAGATTTCTGACACCTCTAGCGGAACTGGCAACACAGTGGTTTCTGATGATAGAGGGGTATGGGGAAAGTAGAGATGGAGTCACATTCCGTCTAACTCATAGCCTAGGGTAAGTCACGAACACCACTGCCGAGCTCGAATAGAAGTCCAAACGCAGTAACTCGAGCACTACGAACCCTGTAGCCGGGGCACAGGGAGGGTTCTGACACTTCTAGCCGAACTGGCAACACAGTGGTTTCTGATGATAGAGGGGTATGGGGAAAGTAGAGATGGAGTCACATTCCGTCTAACTCATAGCTTAGGGTAAGTCACGAACACTACTGTCGAGCTCGAATAGGAGTTTCTGGGTTTCTGATGATAGAGGGGTATGGCGAAAGTAGAGATGGAGTCACATTCCGTCTAACTCATGGCCTAGGGTAAGTCACGAACACCACTGCCGAGCTCGAATAGAAGACTTCTATTAGTTTGGACTTCTATTAGAAGTCCAAACGCAGTAACTCGAGCACTACGAACCCTGTAGCCGGGGCACGGGGAGGGTTCTGACACTTCTAGCTCGAATAGGAGTTTCTGGGTTTCTGATGATAGAGGGGTATGGGGAAAGTAGAGATGGAGTCACATTCCGTCTAACTCATAGCTTAGGGTAAGTCACGAACACTACTGTCGAGCTCGAATAGGAGTTTCTGGGTTTCTGATGATAGAGGGGTATGGGGAAAGTAGAGATGGAGTCACATTCCGTCTAACTCATAGCCTAGGGTAAGTCACGAACACCACTGCCGAGCTCGAATAGAAGTCCAAACGTAGTAACTCGAGCACTACGAACCCTGTAGCCGGGGCACAGGGAGGGTTCTGACACTTCTAGCCGAACTGGCAACACAGTGGTTTCTGATGATAGAGGGGTATGGGGAAAGTAGAGATGGAGTCACATTCCGTCTAACTCATAGCTTAGGGTAAGTCACGAACACTACTGTCGAGCTCGAATAGGAGTTTCTGGGTCTCTGATGATAGAGGGGTATGGCGAAAGTAGAGATGGAGTCACATTCCGTCTAACTCATGGCCTAGGGTAAGTCACGAACACCACTGCCGAGCTCGAATAGAAGTCCAAACGCAGTAACTCGAGCACTACGAACCCTGTAGCCGGGGCACGGGGAGGGTTCTGACACTTCTAGCCGAACTGGCAACACAGTGGTTTCTGATGATAGAGGGGTATGGGGAAAGTAGAGATGGAGTCACATTCCGTCTAACTCATAGCTTAGGGTAAGTCACGAACACTACTGTCGAGCTCGAATAGGAGTTTCTGGGTTTCTGATGATAGAGGGGTATGGCGAAAGTAGAGATGGAGTCACATTCCGTCTAACTCATGGCCTAGGGTAAGTCACGAACACCCCTGCCGAGCTCGAATAGAAGTCCAAACGCAGTAACTCGAGCACTACGAACCCTGTAGCCGGGGCACAGGGAGAGTTCTGACACCTCTAGCCGAACTGGCAACACAGTGGTAACTCGAGCACTACGAACCCTGTAGCCGGGGCACGGGGAGGGTTCTGACACTTCTAGCTCGAATAGGAGTTTCTGGGTTTCTGATGATAGAGGGGTATGGGGAAAGTAGAGATGGAGTCACATTCCGTCTAACTCATAGCCTAGGGTAAGTCACGAACACCACTGCCGAGCTCGAATAGAAGTCCAAACGCAGTAACTCGAGCACTACGAGTCCACAACTCGAAATTGCGGAATTGGCTAGAAACGCGAAATTAGTGGCCCAAAAAATGGGATTGGCCGGGCGCGCTAAATTTGTGGCCAGGATCGATAGACGCCTGAGCGGAGCGAAGCCTAGCGGAGCGTAGCATTGATTGCATCAAAAGTTTGGCGATCGGCGGCGTTGCACAGTATCGTGCTGACCTAACCATCTAACCTTGTGGGTTGAGATGTTTCAAATGGGTCAAAGTGGGTTCCCCTCCCACCCTCCCAGGGGATAGTTTCGAGTCAACATGTAGTTCAAAAACATGTTCTGGCTTGACGCTGTGGTCTGCTGCTCCTTAATCCCATAGACCTGTGGAGATCTGATTTAGTGACGGCATAATCCGCACCCATGCGAAAACTCCTTTCCGAGAATTTTGTGGCGCGCGGGAAGCTACCACGTTCGACAACAAATCAAGGGATTTGCACAAGTCGTGGAACTCGTTTTGTACAAGTTCCCGTGATTTTCCTCGAACAAACTTGTACTCAAGCCTCGATGGCACTAGAAAAACGAATACGCTATTTAAAATGCATGCTAATCAACTTAATCTTAATCCCTTCATCTATCTTGCTCAGCTTGCCTGACGAAGTCCAACCAGATAGCTAAGTTCTGTCTATCGACCGCTTTGCCACCTCCAGTAGCAGAGACTGCCTCTAGCAATTGCATTTTGGTTCTTAGCTTGAGATTTACCCTTAGACCAACGCAGCTCAACTTGTTCGGCGGTACGAACACATCCACTGTAATCCACGTCTAATGTAGAAGCTCTAAGATTGAACTCTTTTGTTATCTCTTCCCACGCACACTTCTTTTTCTTGCGGAAGTCGCCATGTGTATCCTTACTCATGATAACTTCCCTCAATTTAGCATCGCCATCCACGATAACAGATCCCAGTAACTGGACTTCCTCTGTGGTCCATATCGGTCGTTTGCTTGAACTCATAATTCAAGCAGCGGAAGTACTTCAGAAATACGTGGAAGTTCAGAGTGCTTTGTGGGCGGAGCGAAGAGTTGCAAGTTACGAAAAATTAAGGTTTCCATTCCAGAATAGATTCTGAGAACTCATTCTGAGAGCGCGATTCGTTGAACGCGTTCCGGAATCGATTCCAGAATACATTCCGGAATATTTGGGAATGGAATCCTCTGAACACGATCCAGGAATCGATTCTAAGAATCAATTCTAAGAATACTTTCTGGAATGGATTCCGGCGGAATTCTCTGAACACCCCGTTAGTTTGAGGATGACCTTTGCGTCGGGACATCCGAAGCAACAGAAGTCCCATAGGTGACTGTTCACGCGTGCGACAGCGACACTCGTCCGGGAAATCTTCGAATCTTGCGCCGCCTTGTAGTTCTTCTACAACGCGCATCTCGCGTCATCTATAACGGTTTACTAAAGATACCGTAACTTGGCAGGCGCGGTGGTTCTTCCTCACCTGCTTGAGAGGAATGTCGCTTGGGTGATTCTGTAATTACCGAGTAGAGCAACTTTGGTGCTCCCCCTGTTCTCTCCTCGGCGGAGGTTCATCCTGTGTAGATCGTCGTTCATCGGCCTTCGAGTGGATTTGTAATGTATCCAGTTTTTACTTAAATAAGATGAGCATCCCCTGCAAAGCTGCTAACGCTGCCACTCGCAGTGCTTGCCGTGCGGCTGCTGTCGAGGCTGCCAACACTCCTATCAATGTCAAGCTCTCTGAGGTCAAAACCATGTGTCCGTTCTTCGCCAAGGTCTCGAGTAGCCCGGACGCCTCGACTCTGGAGGCCATGGCACACGCCTGCCCAGTGATGAGTGCGGTCCAGAAGCCAGTTGTCATCCAAGACGACACGAATAAGTTGGCCTTTGAGGAGGCTCTGGTGACTCGTAAGGACGAGATGTATGAGGCCAAGTTCAAGTTCAACATTGATAAGCTGCAGGAGGAGGGTCGTTATCGCTACTTCGCTAACTTGCAGAGGCATTGTGGGAACTTCCCCAACGCTACCTTCCATGGTTTGAATCACGATGTCAAGGAAGGCAGGCCGATCAAAATATTCTGTTCGAACGACTACCTCGGCATGGGTCAACATCCCAAGGTCATCGAGGCTTCTCACGAGGCTATCGAGATGAGTGGGACCGGCGCTGGTGGCACCAGAAACATTTCTGGTACCACCAAGTTTCATGTTGATCTTGAGATGACTCTCGCTGAGAACCATCAGAAGGAAGCTGCTCTGGTCATGTCGAGCGGGTTTGTTGCTAATGAGGCGGCTCTATCGGCTGTGGGGAAGATTATACCCGATTGTTTGATGATATCTGATGCTGGTAATCACGCTTCGATGATTCAAGGTATCAGACACTCGAAGTGTGATAAGAAGATTTACCGTCACAACGATATCGCCCATCTGGAGTCCATCCTTGCTGCTACGCCTATCGACCGCCCTAAGATGATTGTCTTTGAATCGGTCTATTCCATGTCTGGAGGCATTGCTCCGATGGAACAGATATGCGACTTGGCCGACAAGTACAGTGCGATGACGTTCTGTGATGAGGTCCACGCCGTTGGCATGTACGGCGAACACGGTGCTGGTATAGCGGAGCGAGACGGTGTTTTGGATAGAATTGACATTATCTCGGGCACGCTTGGTAAGGCTTACGGTGTTTTCGGTGGCTACATCGCGGCTTCGGCGAGCTTTGTTGACTGTGTACGCTCGTACGCCGCCGGTTTCATTTTCACTACTGCGGTCCCGCCGGTGATCGCTGCTGGTGGTCTCGCTGCTGTGACTCATTTAAGACACTCTAAGATCGAGAGGGAACTGCAACAGCTTCGTGCCAAGCAACTGAAGATTAAACTGGCTGCGAGAAGCTTGCCTGTTATGAACAGCCCTAGTCACATAGTCCCTGTTCTGGTTAGAGACCCTGTTAAAGTGAAAGAGCTCACTGATAAGCTACTGGCTGAGTATGGTATCTATCTGCAACCTATTAACTACCCTACCGTCGATCGTGGTACTGAACGTATCCGTATTACACCCGGTCCTCTCCACAGTGAGGAAGACTTGGATATGTTTGTGGACGCTCTTGATCGTTGCTTTGACGAGCTCGGAATCTCTAGGAAGATGCAGACATTGGACGTCGTTCATTAGCTTTCTGGATGAGGAATAGGATTTATTTCATAGCTCAACGCTGACGATTATTTTCTATCATACAATTTCGTTGTGGTGGAGGCATCATAGGCTATATTTTGGTGGTTAACGACAGTGATTGCTTGCCTGCCTCACGTAGTTGTAGTCACTAATAGATCGACTTGCGTTGTCATACTGTCGGATGGACATGTATTTGGGCTAACTCTCATAATATACGGCTTGATAACCTTGATTGATTACTTTATCAGAGGGCATTCGGTGATCTTGCTGCATAGAGGTGCAAAAGGATGGTTTCTATCGAGCTTGGAGAATGCATATTTCTCTATCAATCTAGCAGTTCTTTACAGAATTAAATACAGCAATGTGACTAAGTTGTTTCCACTCTGGTTTCAATGGGTATGAAACTTATTGGGAACTAACTTTCCATTCGAAGGATAAGTAAAAATCATCGAGAATCAAGTGTAGAACAAAAGTTAATCACTAGTAGTCTTTGTAATTATACAGACACAACATAGAATTGTTCCCTTCGGTGATACCTTATGGAGCGTTCAAGTCACGTGGTTAGAGATGTTAATTCCCCTTTCTGAACAATACTCCTGGATCAACATGGTTTTTACCCATACCGCAACACCAAAAATTAGAACACAACAACGAGAGTTCTTAAATATGTTGATGCAACTAGTAATATAAAAAACAACTATAGTTCTGTTTCAACAAATCTTTCGTCACCTCGCAGGCAACAACATTAGGTATAAGCTCATGATGCCACCTTACTTGGCGAGCCTCCCTAGATGAGCCTTGGGGGCATACTTTTTGATGACCTTACGCTCATGTAGCATGTCGAACTCTTCGGTCGCATCCTTGCCAGCGAACAACAGGATCGCCTTCTTTCCACCAGGATGGTCGGGCAAGAACTCGGTCACGTCGTAAACTTCATCACCGATAATAACCCAACAATCACTCTCGCTGTTGTGAGTGGCCACTTCAGCCGCAGTATATGTCTTCTCAGGCATCGACAACGGGGATCAACAAACCTGAATCTACTCGCATTGACAGACGCACCGTGACCCCACTCTAGGGCGTAAGGAAGGTCCTTAGACATCCGAAAGATTAGTAGACTCGGGCGGGATCTGGTACGTTACGCACACAAACTCAAGGCGCCGATGTTGGGTCGTTCAAGAGAGAACGTGCTACATGAACGTATCTCACTCTCGGAAAATCGCGCACGCCATTGTGATCGATCGAAATCGTTTGCCTACTCATATCAACTTGTTATTGGTTTTATTGTAAGAGATCTGAGATACTAGAGATCATCGAAACGGGGGAAATACGCAAGTTGAAGGAGCAAGTCAACAGCCCTATTAAGGAAGGGAAGAAGGAAGCCGTAAATGAGGTAATAAAAGGGCAAATTAGGTCTCTGTCGAGTGTTGCACATTATAGCGGCTATGATAGTGGGAGCGTCATTTCCAGACGTGGTGAACTGTATTCAATCGCAGAGTAAAAATTAGTTCACCTGTGGGAGAAAATATGCACATAGCCAACGATGGTGTCGGTGATTATATGCAAAAATTTTCGGGAAATTTTGGGAAATTTTTGTTGGCTTCTGAAAACGTCTACCCTGATTCTCGATAAATGGCACTAGTAGGATCACTGTGTTAATCTTCCAGTGTACGGGGGATACTCACTAGAGCCTTTACGAAAGCGTTGTGAAGATCGGGACCCTCACGTAAGGGCATTAATGAAATCGATATATGGTTAGATGTGGACGGCGTAGGTTAGGGAAATAGCGTCGATTTTCATTGCAGAATTCTTTGAGATTTCACCGGACTTTGGGTCCTTAGCGTCAGTTCTCTCTGTAGTACAGAGTCTGTACGTCAGCCATCTGGGCGTTAAAGTAGACGGCTTGAGTTTTGGTGATGGTGGGGTTATACTATGCGAATTCAAAGCGTTCAAGAATGAGAAATATTTTTATTCCCGTTGCTCTCTGGTGCGTGTCTTACGAATAGCTTATGCTCTTCTTTGGGAGCGGACACAAGTAGGCTAGAATAGGAGATACTTATTCTTACTCGTGTTTTCGAGCTGATGAGTGATATATCAAAGCTGCCGGGCGGGCGAGGTTGATGAAACTCGTGGAGAACGTGGTTGAGTACAAGCCCAGTGATGCTGTTGCAAGTGGTTCTGATGCAGAGCGTGCCAACGGAGACGATTGGTTTGGTCACGCGCCATGAAATTACGGCTCATTGCGTCAGGGGATCATATGCACTACCTTATCGAGCGGTTGCTGCAGCTGAAGCCGCAGAGATAGCGGTAGTTCCTAGAATGTTGAGAATTGCGATATTGTGGCAGTTGTAGTAGTTCCTCATTGTGTGATATTGTTGGGATAGGAAAGGGATGGTAGCGACAGCCGCCGATAAGGCAAGTAATGGAGTAGGAAAGCGTAGGTCTATTCAGTGGAGGGTTAAGGTGAGTCAGTAGTAGTAATGAGGGCGAATCTACAAGGATGCGAGGGACGTCCTATCTTCCAATGGTTGCCTCCGGTCCGCCTTGAAATATGACCAAGGAGAATAACGTATGTGTGTGACGAAACAAGAGTGAAGTCGTATGGTATTGTTGGGTTCATGATGAACCGATATTGTGTATTCGTTAGGACCCGGAAGATGGCTATGCTAGGTTCCTTGTTGTAT